TGTGTGTGTGTCTGTCTGTCTGTGTGTGTGTGTGTGTCTGTGTCTGTGTGTGTGTGTGTGTGTGTGTGTGAGTGTGTGTGTGTTTGAATCAGCCAGGGATTTTTAGTGAATGTATGAAGTCAGTTTTCCACAAATCTTCATGTCAAAAGTTTGGCTTCTGCATCTCTAAAATACACGACATGTTTATTAATCTAATGCAACGTCCGGATGTTTTTTAAGTGTGACTGAAGTGAACGGACACAGCCGCTGTGTTTGAGACTCGTCTGCGGTTGCTGTCGCGCTCTGATCATACGATGTTTGACGGACAGCTCGGCACAGATGATATTGATGAGACGTCAGTCAATTCAGTGCTTTGGAAAAAAGTGATGCTGTGGAGCGATCAATAAACTGATTGTCTGCAGAAAGCACGTCTGTCACTGGAGTGACAGCCACACACACAGACACGTGCACAGAAGCACGAGCAAAAGCACAGACACAGACACAGACACAGACAGACACAGACAGACAGACACAGACACAGACACAGACACAGACACAGACACAGACACAGACACAGACACAGACACAGACACAGACACAGACACAGACACAGACACAGACACAGACACAGACACAGACACAGACACAGACACAGACACAGACACAGACACAGACACAGACACAGACACAGACACAGACAGACAGACACAGACACAGACAGACAGACACAGACACAGACAGACAGACACACACAGACAGACAGACACACAGACTGACGGATGCACAATCACAGTGGCACAGAGCACATGACCACACAACAGCCAATCACGACGCAGCGCCGCTCAGGCATGCGACCGTTCTCATGCACACGCTCATAATTTCCAATTGCTGGGTTTCCATGGCAACGCGTGCAGAGAGACAGAGAGAGGGCCTTCCGAGTGGAAAGTTTGCAAACAAGATCCCACAATGCAACACACGAGACCGACACGACCCTCGTCTTCACAGCATGCACAGGAGCACGAGCACAGACACAGACACAGACACAGACACAGACAGACAGACACAGACACAGACAGACAGACACACACAGACAGACAGACACACAGACTGACGGATGCACAATCACAGTGGCACAGAGCACATGACCACACAACAGCCAATCACGACGCAGCGCCGCTCAGGCATGCGACCGTTCTCATGCACACGCTCATAATTTCCAATTGCTGGGTTTCCATGGCAACGCGTGCAGAGAGACAGAGAGAGGGCCTTCCGAGTGGAAAGTTTGCAAACAAGATCCCACAATGCAACACACGAGACCGACACGACCCTCGTCTTCACAGCGCTTTGCATTTGATTCGGGTTTGCTACCATCATCAGCACTGTTTACTGCTTGACTGACATTTAGTTCTCTGAGTTTAAATGCCAAATAAAAGAAACGAGAGAAAATAAACTAAAAACACACCAACCTTCTCGCAGCTCTGAGGGTGTAAGGGGTTTGAGATGGAAAGCAGAGAAGAAAACCAGGGAAACACACAGAGAGAGTAAAAAGGCCACTGCAACCATCTTCATCTGCCACAGTCACCTCATTCATTTAGCTTACGTTTAGCTCGTCAATCTGCGTCTTTGTGTGGCAGCATTATTCATATACACTCCCAAATATCAAATATTGTGGCTTGGCCTTGCTCTACTCTGAGAAATTCACTTCATAAAGAAATAAACTGAGAAAACACACACACGACACACTGCAAAGACCTTCATATTTAGTTGTAAATCATGAATGCAGTGAACACTAAAGTCAAATTAGTTTCCATTAGTAATTTAAACACATACAAACAGACAAACAACTGAAAAAAAATCATGAAGAAAACAATTAACAAGCACACAAACGTTTGCAATATTAGTAGAGGCATCATGCAGCACTTGATAACATTAATATCTAATATAACGCGTTCATCAGAGCAAATATTTAGACGTGATTGACGGCCGGTGCTGAGGAGGACTGGACCGTTTCTTTCCCGCTCGTTCCTCATCGAACCTCATTTACCTTCTTTTGTTCTCTATTAAAACCGCGGCGGCTCTTTCCGGACCAGTAGGCCGCGAGCGCTTCAGCCCAACATCAAATATCACTAATTGAGTTAACAGAAACAATTACATGCCTGTAAACCCAATTCATTTCAAATCAATTAGCTTTTTTAATGCTTCGATTAGCCGAGAATCACGAATGAACCCCGACGGGAAGCCCTTGAGTTGATAAAGTTGGGCGTTTCCTCCGAATTGCTCACGAGCAGAATGAACCTCTGCTTGGAAGAAGCTCATAAAAACAGAAATTTGCTCTGCTTGCGACGCTCAATGTCCCTCAGAGCTCAGCTTGGACTGTGTGAGATCAAACACAGCAAAGAGCAAGCGTGGCAGACGCGCGATAACAATGCGATGCGATACGTATGTATACATTTACAGAAGTGCTGCAGAGGCTGCTGGGTAAATTAAAGAAGCTGTCTTTGCTGACATGTGAATGAAAGTGTATTACCTACGGAGTACCTACTGTGTTCCATACCTCTCACGTATAAGTTAGCAGGGGACGAGTAGCGCACGCCTTGAGAGTTAGACGCCACGCACTCGTACTTCCCCTGATCGGTCTCCTCGCTGCGCTCGATCTGCAGCGCACCTGCACAGAGAGAGAGAGAGAGAGAGAGAGAGAGAGAGAGAGAGAGAGAGAGAGAGAGAGAGAGAGAGAGAGAGAGAGAGAGAGAGAGAGAGAGAGAGAGAGAGAGAGAGAGAGAGAGAGAGAGAGAGAGAGAGAGAGAGAGAGAGAGAGAGAGAGAGAGAGAGAGAGAGAGAGAGAGAGAGAGAGAGAGAGAGAGAGAGAGAGAGAGAGAGAGAGAGAGAGAGAGAGAGAGAGAGAGAGAGAGAGAGAGAGAGAAAGAGTGAGCCGGGCAGAGAAACAGACGTGTCAGTCAGACAGACACAAAGAGAGAGAGAGAGAGAGAGAGAGAGAGAGAGAGAAAGAGTGAGCCGGGCAGAGAAACAGACGTGTCAGTCAGACAGACACAAGACAGAGGAGAGGAGGAGAAAAAGAGAAGTAAAGGAAAGAGGAGGAGAGAAAACAAACACAGCATTAATATTTACAGTCACAGTGAACCTCAAGATGCTTTACAAACCTTCCTTTATGTTCTACACGCTCATCAGCTTCATATTTTACACACAACACAAGCACATCCACCTCTGACTGACTGTTAGGGATGGTAAGATTCACTGATTTGCATCGGTGCATCGACCTAAAAGTTAACGATGCGATGCATCGATTTAAAAAAGTGTGCATCAGATACAAGTTGCCATTTGTATTGCGATGCATCTTTTCTAACATATTTGCATCGGTAAAAACTATTTTTTACATATAATTATTAGTACACTTTTCTACACTTTTATTATTGAGAAAGTGACCAATAATTTGTGACCAATATATTACATGTAAATTGATTTCTCCTCTCTAAACGGTTTCTCAAGCGCGTTCTTTCATCACCGCTGCTGCTGCGTAAATATGACATATCACAAAACTACGGAGACCGAGGCGAGTCCTGAGAGTCACATAGAATGTAGATTAACATGGCCGTCTGTCTGAACTAAAGAAATAAAATTGAACTATCTGTACCGTATTGCATAGAATCATAGTGTGATGGGTAGAGGAAATGATTTTACTGTATTGCTTAAAAAAAATAAAGGGTTACTCCACCACTTATTTATTTATTTTTTTTATCAGAATTGTTCTAAGAGTTAACAAAATATTTCATGTATTTCACCATCACACCTGTAGAGGGTAGTGTGGCGCTTTAGCGGGTTATCTAGGGGACCAGCAGCTCGAGTTCCGGGTCATATTAAAACTGCACTCGAGCAAGGCAATAACGTGTCTGTCTCCTTATCACTCACAGCTTGGTGCGTGATTTGGCATGTGCCGGCCCAGATTCCCCCTAGGTCTGGAGCCGGTAACAATTGGGGGCTCATCCGGGATCCCGCATCGTCGAGTGGGGAGAGCTGTCACGGCAGAGGTGGAGGTTGGTGATCAAGCTTCAAGGGAGGCCGCTGCACCCAGCGTCATCCAGAGAGCGGCCGTCAACAGTGAAACGTCACGATGGCTCCTGTAACCCCATGATGGATGTTGATTTTCCAGATTCACAAAAAGTTTTTAGTGTTGAGTACCAGTCAACTACAGTCAGTTGCCAAGGCGATTGAAGATGGCAGCGAGAGTACAGAAGGCTTCAGTGAACCAGAGCTCTACGACTCTACGACTACACCAGGAGTGTAGGACAAAGGTATGACTCAACTTCTCTCCCTTCAGGATCTGTTACACGAACTGACATCAGCCGACTCCGGGTCTGGGGAGGCTTATGTTTGCACCCACTTGTACACATAAACATCTCCCTGCCTCGGCAGAGGACGTACATACATCTTCATCAGACAGGGGCACTCACACACAACTATCGTCCACAGACTCTTGCACCTCAGTCACCCAGTGAATTGCACACTCCCATGTCACACATGGACAGAGACATTTACACACCTGCTGCAGCGGAGATACCAGGTCACCTGGGTGTCACTGGTACTCGTGACACCCACCAGAGTCGGACAAGCCTATCTTCCACTGTTGCTGATCAGGTAGTGAGACTGTCTGATGTCACAGCTTTGCTTCCACGCCGGGAATGTAAATTTCATGGGGGTCAAATATCTGATACCGGGTCGGACATTTCTTTCAATGGTCTCTGAAGCAGATTGATACTGCTCTACAAGAGGGGTTTATGGAGGTTGAGATCATTAGAGCAGTGCTCAAGATAACTAAATTGGGTACCTTTAGGGGAAGTCGTGGCCTAATGGTTAGACTTGTAACCCAAAGGTTGCGAGTTCGAGTCTCAGGTCCGGCAGGAATTGTAGGTGGGGGGAGTGAATGTACAGCGCTCTCTCCCACCTTCAATACCACGACTGAGGTGCCCTTGAGCAAGGCACCGAACCCCCAACTGCTCCCCGGGCGCCGCAGCATAAATGGCTGCCCACTGCTCCGGGTGTGTGTTCACGGTGTGTGTGTTCACTGCTGTGTGTGCGCACTTAGGATGGGTTAAATGCAGAGCACTAATTCCTAGTATGGGTAACCATACTTGGCCACATGTCACGTCACTTTCACTTTCACTTTAGAGAAATGTTCACTAACCACGATGGTTTAACAGTGAATGGGTTAAAGAGACTTCTCCGCGCTCATGTGAGAGATAAAGGTGTAGCCAAGCTCTTCCACGAGCTAAGTAATGCTAAACAACATGACAAAGAGAGTCCACATCAGTTCCTCTATAGACTTATAGGGCTAAAACATAGCGTTCTTGTCGAGTCACAGCAACCAGGTGCAGAGTTTAACTATGATAAGCGACTGGTTCAGGGTACTTTTCTGCACACCTTGTATCAAGGGTTAAATGACAAGAACAGTCATTCATGTCTTAGGCAAGACATCAAACCTTTCCTTGCTAACACACAGGTTAGTGATGACTCGTTGTTAGAGCAGCTGACAAAGTCAACAATGGAGGAAGAAGGAAGGTTAAAGCACCTGGGTGCTGTAGCCAAGTCTAGGTCAGTGACTGTGAGTGTGGCTCAATCTGACATTACTACACTGACCGATGCGACAAAACAGTCCCAAATGGACGCTGAGTTGCAAGCTAATCGTCAAGCTATTAGAAAGCTGACTGCTCAAGTGTCCTCACTAACCACGACAAATGACGCTGGCGAATCAGACTGTTGACCGTGCCCGACTGGCAGCTCTAGTACACCTGTTAAGCACCCACAATCCCTGACAGTTGAGAAAAAGGGTAAATGCCCCGACTGCATAACGAAAGAGACAATGAACTGTCCCCATTGTTTTGTTTGTGGTCAGGCAGGTCATCGGGCCATTGGATGTTTGCAGCGACGAACGTCGGTAAACGGGAAAAGGTCGCTGGAGAAGGGCAGCCAGCAACCGTGAACAGTGTTAAGCCCACAGATACGGTTAAACCGTCAGCCACGTCATGTCAATTGGACCCAAAGAAACGTATGGCCCAGCTCATTGGAAAACGTTGAACTGTTTCCTGTAACATCAATGGTGTGCCAATAGAAATGCTATTAGATTCAGGAGCCCAGGTGACTATGGTTAGCAAAACCAGGATAGATAGGGCATCACCCCATGTCAAAATTCAGCCACTTCAGCCGCTCCTTAACAGTCAGTCCCTTAAAATCTCTGCAGCCAATGGTACTGAAATACCCCTTGAGGGATGGGCAGGTGTTGACCTACAGATTCCTAGCAAGCACCATAGGTCTGTGACAATCAGAGTACCCCTTTTAGTCAGTCAAAGCTGCCATTGTCCCTTGTTAGGTAGCAACGTCTTAGTGGAAATCATCAAAGAACATGGCAACACCGTGGATGTGACCGCTATCCTAACGGATTCTTTAAGTATTCCAGAGAACACCGTGGAGGCGTTGGTCTCTCTCCTTCGGCTAACAACCACGGATGAGCCAACACCACGTGTGGTACGCATCAGTAAGAGAGGTGTTACCATCCCCGCAGGCAAAGTCTATGAGGTCCGGTGTTGAGTTAAGGGGCTACCAGGGAACTGCACCATGCTGTTTCAGCCTCTCACTGAGAATACTTGTCCGGTCGGTTTAGACCTGTTTCCGTCCCTGGTAGACGTTCCTTGGGGAGTTCCGGGTCATATTAAAACTGCACTCGAGCAAGGCAATAACGTGTCTGTCTCCTTATCACTCACAGCTTGGTGCGTGATTTGGCTTGTGCCGGCCCAGATTCCCCCTAGGTCTGGAGCCAGTAACACATAGCATCATATATTTTTTTTCCATTGCATCGTATTGCATTGTGTTGAATCAAATCGAAATTGGATCGTACTGCATCGTGATAGGAGTCAATCGTATCGGCAGCTGCTTCATATGTATCTTTAATGTATCGTATCGTTGGCTATGCATCCAGATGCGTATGGCATCGGCCTCAGTCATGGAGATCCCTACTGACTGTCATTTATTTACATAGCTCTTTTATACAATGGAAATGTAAAGTCCTTAAAGAGCAGGTCATATGGGTTTTTGAAAAATATCTCTTTTGCAATTTATAACGTAGCTATCCTTAAATGAAAACAATCTGCAAAGTTGTTAATCAAAAAATTGCATGATAAATAAAGATATTGTCTCTCAAAAGAGAAAGTCGATTCTGATTCGCCTTAATGAGTCGTCATATTTTCGAATCTTTGGCCTGTTACCGGTATACGTCACTGGGTAAGACATTTGCATAATCCCCGCCTGCCCGCGAGTCTGACCTGCCCACAAACACTTCCGCTAGTTAGTGTGTTTACATCATGTTGAGAAGACGCTGTGTTCAAGGATACCACAGAAATACAATTCGAACCTTTTGTTGTGTGCATGTCATTTTAACGAGGACTGCTTTTCTAATCTTGGCTTTTATCTTCATCGGCTTCTAATCTTCTTAATTTGGACCAACAAGCTCTCCGAACCACAATCTGTAAGTCCTACGATTGATACGTTATGTGTACATTTTCAATTGTACCTAGTGCCTAGTGCAGCTTCCAGGTAAAGCACGATATTACTGTTTTACTGAAGTAGTTCTGATAATTCGCTGTGAACTGTGAACCTCCT